GGCAAGGTAAGGGTGCATTTCTCAGCTTATCTACATACTTGTTTAGCTGTTTGGAAAATTAATAATTATTATCAAACTAGTAAAAAATTATCTAATTTAATATATATATATATATATATATATATATATATATATATATATATATATATATATATATACCATGGCCTCTGCTTCCCATTCTTCATCAGTCATGTTGAAAGAGTTCGTTAAAGGATTATAAAGATTTCCGGTTTTATTTTTCAGTTTCAACCATAAGGTATTCTTTGCTTTTAAGTAGTTGTATCGGTTTTTCATTTGTTTTCTTTCGACAACAAAATTATGCTCACTTTTTAATTTCTCCGCGACTACAATCCATGAGCTTCCTTTTAGGCCACTACCCTCCTGACCAATAGTGGTTAATTCGTGTATACATGCCTCCAAAAAAGTTTTGTCCACACTCTCTGACTTCCAACTATCTCTAGTTCTTTTATCTGTCATGTTATATATAGAGTAAAACACACACACACACATGTACAACATAAGTCAAGACAATACAACTTCGCATTTAAGCTTTCATACAAAAGATTGATATTTCTAATAAGTTTAAAATTTCAGCTTTCATATATATATATATATATATATATATATATATATATATATATATATATATATATATATATATATATATATTGTAACACCCAAAAATTCAAGCCAAATTTAAACTTTCAAAACATGTCGAATTCATCAAAACATTACAACTTTGTTTTCAAAATACATTTATATCAGAGTTTTCCCATAAACATAACATAATAGGAGGAGTTGTACGATCATGCCTTCGACTTGCCGCGATCCCCTGATGTACCTGAAACAATAAACTGAAACTGTAAGCCCGAGAGCTTAGTGAGATACCCCCAAAATACCGATACACATACAGTCCACATAACCATGTCACACCATCACATATCATAAGAAACTGAGCAGAATAGCACATAACGGGTCCACAAATTTACAGATTGGAATACCCCTGGGCCCACAGTGTGAGTCTGGAATGCCTACCGGGCCCTCAGCTCACATCTGGATTGCCACCGAGCCCTCAGTACGAGTCTGGAATGCCTACCGGGACCTCAGCTCGTATCTGGAATGCTCCCAAGTCCTCAATATGAGTCTGGAATACCTACCGGGCCCTCAACTCATATCTGGAATACTCTAGGGTTTGTTGGCTACCGCACGGAGCAGTACAACCTCAACCCATCCCACATAACATATCAACATGTAACAGATAATGCACATACATGCAATCAATCAGTATCATAGGTAGTCCTACAGACCTACCCTCTAGCGTCTCAACTAGCATGTATAACTAACTCATACTCGACATAATACAACTACGAGGATATCATATCCAATGGGATCTGTAATCGGGGACCTTGCCTTGGTGCCTTAGATCCCTTAGTATAGTGAGGATAACTCACCTCGCAACTGTCGTCGGAAATAAGAAAGCTCAACTCCTGGGTCCAACACGAACTCCACCACCTATCATAAATCTCCCAATTACCAGAAACCAACAGAATTCAACTGGTCAACCCTTGGTCCAATTCAAAGTCCACAGTCAGAGTCAACAGACTATGTTGACTCGACTCGTCGAGTGCAGATCACCGACTCGCCGAGTTCTTCCTGAATTCGTGAAGTCGTGAAATCCTTGATTGGCTTGTCGAGGTTCCCTTTTTAACTCGTCGAGTTCATCCGTGGCCAAGATTTGGAAGAAACCCTAGCCAACTCGCCGAGTCTTCTAACAACTCGCCGAGTTCAAGGCAATCTTCAACGAACTCGCCGAGTTGTTCATCCAACTCGCCGAGTTCATGGCCATCTTCAATGGACTCGCCGAGTTTCTCATTCAACTCTCCGAGTCCTTGCAGTTCTTAATCTATGCAGATGCTTTTTAAGCCATGGCAAGGTCCCCGATTACAGATCCAAGCTCCTAAGGCATGTTTATCACGTAAAGTTGCAAACTTTACGCATATGCAAGGCTCTAAAGGCTCTAAATGATCAATCTAAGCTCTTAATGGAGTTTTACACCTTGGGAGAGTCTCATCCTTGATCAAGCTAGGAACTTTATGAATCTAGAGGTCAAGGGGAGTCTAGATCTGAAGTTACAACTTCAGATCTTAGCTTAAACATGGAGAGCCCTTCATAACACACATCCAAGAAAGGTTAAAAGAGAAATGAGCTTAAGGAACAACCTAATACCTTCCAGAGAGTGATAATCTGAGGAATCCCTTAGCTTCCCACGAGTTCTTGGCCTTGCTTTTCCTTGCTACCTCAAGTGCTTCCTTCTCCAAGGTTACTCCTCCAAGCTTGAACACACCAAGGAACACACACACACGATTTAGGGTTTGAGAGGGACAAGAAGCAGTAAGGGGAGGCTGGTGGAGGCCAATGATCCTTTAAATAGGGTGCAAAACCCCCAAAATTTAGGGTTTCATCTGCCAACTCCTACTCGCCGATTCCCTTAGTGGACTCGCCGAGTAGGTCACTAAACACGCGTTCTATTCCCGCTGCTACTCGACGAGTAGGGCAACCAACTCGCCGAGTAGGACATAAGGCCACTTATTCTTTATTTAAATTCATACCTGGAATTGGGGTGCTATATATATATATATATATATATATATATATATATATATATATATATATATATATATATATATATATATATATATATATATATATATTCAAATTTCAACTTTCATACGAACAAATTTTAGATTTAAAATACAAACAAATTTCAGATTTAAAATTTCATTGTAACATATTTTTGACAAATTATAAGAAGTGATAGTTCCATGTTGGGTAAAGATCACTTATTTCATCAATGTGAATATTGTGGTTGGGAAAACTTGGGATTAAAAAATTTCTAAGCTCAAAACAGTCTAATAGATTTGGAAGTAGTAGTATCTCCATATCTTGGCATGTGTAAACTGCCGACATTTGCATATTATGCTCATAGTAATGTTTGCTCATTGTTCTTTTCCTTAAGTAATGGAACATGAACATCACTGTCCTTCGATCAAAGTACCCTTTTGTAATAAAGTTTTTAAAGATTATCATGTGTGGCAGGTTCATTTAGAATCAAACTTCAAAAGGGATTTCATACATCAGAAGAAAAAAAGATGCGATGAGATGCTGTTGTCGATGATAAAAAAAGATGCGATGAGATGCCTTGTGATAAAAAAAGAGAAGAAGAAGAAGAGAACCTGCTGCTGTCGTTGTTGCAGTTGATGTTGTTGTTGATGATGCTGTAGATGTTGCTGTCAATTTTGGGAATTGAAGGAGTCCTTGCTGAGAATGCATCGAAGCAGGAGGAGTCGCTGAGGAATAGGACATGATTTTATTTTAGGGCGCAGGGGCAGAAACAACAAGATAAGGGCCTTTTCTTTGGTCAGTCGTGTTTTTGTGGGGGACCGAGTCAGCCAATGGGTCAGCTATTGCTGACCGAATCATCAATTTTGGAGGCCCATCAAACAGTCTGATTGCTGACCGAGTCAAACATCCCCTAACTGTATCATAACAGAATAGGGTTTTGTAGCAGGAGGAGTCACTGAGGAATAGGACGTGATTTTGTTTTAGGGCGCTGGGGCAGAAACGAAAAGATAAGGGCCTTTTCTTTGGTCAGTCGTGTTTTTGTGGGGGACCGAGTCAGCCAATGGGTCAGCTATTGCTGACCGAATCATCAATTTTGGAGGCCCATCAAACAGTCTGATTGCTGACCGAGTCAAAAATCCCTTAAGTGTATCATAACGAAATAGGGTTTTGTAGCATGGCCTCCGGGCAAACATCCAGTTTCGGGGGTTTCTCCCTGGTACTATCCTTTACATTCTAAATCTTCATTCTTGAACTTCTGTTATTCGGTCTTCAAACTCTTAGCTTCTCAATCTTCTGTCTTCTTATTTCTCTCATTCTCTCTCTCTCTCTCTCTCTCTCTCTCTCTCTCTCCCTCTGTCTCTTTGATTTTTTAGGAGAGAATGCTCGAACTTTGATTTTTTTTCTTTTTGTGTTGCTCTTTTTCTTCATTTTTCTTGTTTGTTTTTGTTTCTTTTCTCTTTGAATTTTTCTTTGTTGCATTTCTTGAATCTTCCTTTATTGTCTCCTTTTGTCTTTTCTTTTCAATTTTTCTTCATTTTTTTGTATGTTTTCTTCTTGTCTTTCTTCTTAGAAGGTCTAAGGAATTTCACCATATAACATAGGACTCCAATAATGTAACAAAGGAGTAATAGATAGAGGCTAACATTAACACCTAATAATCATTGACAATGTATCAAGATTTACTAAAAGGGTGGGATATGACTCAAAAAATTGGTGTTACTGAAAAAATTGGTCCCAAAAATGTGAATTGAGGGACCCATATAAAAGTTCATCAATGTACAATGAGATGAAGAAAACCTATCTAACTATTTATTCTAGACCCATAGAAAAATTTACCTATCTTACAAAGGTGGTGATAATCTAAGTAACAAGGTTTGGGAAAACTCGGGAGTACTAAGGGGTATTCCTCCCAAAACCAAGATGTGATTCTTTAATGTATTCAAATACCTTATCGGGATAATATTTGCTTACGCACATCGTCCAGACTAACCACTTCCATCCGCATCTAGATCAAGTTAAGCTACTTGTATTGGATCCCCACACAAGTAGTCTCAAAGTGTTCCGTGATGCTCAAAACATATCCCATTTGTCCAATACAAGGAATTCCATATCAAGACCCAGTAACAATCTATGATTCAATGCTATGGGTACCTGTAGGTATGAGAAGAAAAGAGAGAACAAAATTGAATGAAGACCTAAGCTAGAATGCAACTAGAAAGTATGAAAATTAGAAAAGAACCAAACAAAATATGCAATATTTTTAAAATTTTTATGAATGACCTAATTGAATTACTCTAAATGCTACTATATAAAACCTAATTCCAAAAAAATAAAGAACTAAGAATATCTCACCCTAAGCTTAAAATGAAACACTGTACTTAATGCTTAGGGTGATAGTAAGGAAGGACCATACCGGGATCAAGGTGGTGGAGGTCCATGAGGACGGTAACTGCCCTCAGGCTGGAAATGGCGCCTGAGATCCTCCATTTAGCTGTTGGTGCGAGTCTGCTGCTCCTCGATGCGCTGAATGTTTCCTTCATTATGGTTTCCCTACAAATGTAATGCAAAAAGTTGACTGTAGATATCAAGATAAATCTTGGGTCTCGGCTCGTGCTACTACGGAAACTACTGGTACTGAGGTGGTGGTTGGAACTGTGCTCCCGAGGACTGAACTTGAAAGTGTTGTGACAGTTGTTGGACGGGGTGGTCATAATGGTCCTCGACCTCAAAGGATTTGTCATCATCACTAGCGTCATCCATCTGTATGTCATCATCATCATCATCATCACCGTTATCATCATCATCACCTCCATGATCAACATGCTCCTCTGTGCATAGCTCCCCTAACAGGAACCTAGGTCTCAGGGTCATCGGTGGTAAAGGTTGAGATGTTGGAATGTGTAAGATATAGACTGGATCTTTGGCATGATTAATCCAAACGAGAGTGCCATTTCTTACAGGGAGCAACAATTCTATCCGGACAAGGGTTATACAGTCGAGGAGGTAGACGGGGGAGTAATCCGCTGGCACATAATTGAACTCATGAAATTGAAGTCCTATGCCCAAACCAATTAGGGTAATAAGACCCCCAATGGGTATCTCTCCAATGTCCTCTTGCGGACAATGTCATATTTGTCCAAGAAGAAAGTGGCAAAACCGGGACAAAACCAATAGATGTGCGACATGCAGTAAAGGAAATATAGCTCGATTTTGTTCATTTGTCTTGGCTCATGGCGACCGAAGATTGAAGTTGAAAGAATCCAATGTGCGATTCTCCAATAAGGATGGATGATGTAAGGATATTTCTGTCAACTTGAATTAAAGTTTGAAAGATCGGTGATTCAGGTCCAAAACTCTAACTTTTTGGCAAGCACTTTAAATTAGTTCATTCTTTACTATAGATGTCAATATTATGGGAGTCGTATGTGCCCATGATGGTGTCATATGTGAGTTGGTGTTGCTGACCCTGGAGTCGAAAGGCGAGTACCCCCATCGCGTCGTCCCGTGCATAAGTGGAGAGGAATTTGAGCATAGGTTGCTTGTATGTGTGCACAGAAAGATCTTGGTAATCACTCCAACCCATGTTTAATAACATATCTTGCAAGAAATAGTTAATGTCAAGGTTTATCATTGACTTCCTATGGTAGAAATTGGTGGCCCTGACTGCATGTTTATGGAGGTTAGTCCTGAATTGTTTGATTTGTGCACTAGTAAGGGTAGGGTCAACATCACAGTCTATATGCTCATTTGCGACTTTTTTTGAATGATTTTCATGATTGAGCATCATAGGAGGAAGCATAAGAAGCGTGAACGGTTTTGTTCTTTCCCATTGTACCTGTTAATTAAACCTAGCAAAGACCAAAATCTTAACAATGATTATCCCTCACACTTGCCTCACACCAATCCAATCAATTAAATTCTAAATACACTGGATAATCACTCCAAATTTGCTATTCGGCACAATTTAATTCAATTCAACCAAGTCAAAGCAATCCAATTCTAAGCAATTAAATGCAAGGCAATCTAATTCATAACATATGTCTAGCAAAACCCGATAAATTGAATGTAATGAACTTAAAAAGAATGTACCAAATTCGAGTGTCGAAATTTGAAACTTTAAAAACCGCACCCCAAGCTGGAATTTAACCCGAAATGTTGAGTCTTTTGAATCTACGGTGAGAAACAAAAATTATGAAATTTTTCGTCAAACGGAGTGGCGACGACAGATGATGGCTGGTAGCCGGCAACGGAGCAAGCTATTCTAACAATGAAATTTGGTCTCGAAAATTACAGATCGACATTTACGGAAGTATTTGGTGAAGAATGATCTACCTTGATCTTTTTCGATTTTTCAGTGAGTGTTGAAGAAGGTGGCGGCGTCGGCTGTTAACTATTGGTGAAAGGAGCTGAGGGTGGCCGAAATTGGTTGTCGGTGAGATAGGGTGGTGTTATGGTCGGAGATGGTACGGAGGAGGGTTGTGGTGGCGATTAGCGATTTCCGGCAAGATGGGGCTAGGAGGGAGGAACGAGGTGGTTATGGCGAAGGGTGAGTTTTGAATGGGGGGGGGGGTATGCGCTTTTTGGTGAGATAAGGAGGGAAGGTAGCCACCTGTAGCGGCGAAGGCTATCACGAATGGGGGGGGGGGGAGGGGAGGTGATTTTAGGAGGTAGAGGCGACCGACGACAACTGTGGACGGCTGGAGTGAAGACCGGTGGTGGTTTTGGTTCGACGGCGACAACAATGTGGGTAAGGAGGCATTGTTGTTGTTGTCGGGAGGTATAAATGGGAAAGGTAAGTAGAGTCCGATGGTGATATAAGGTGGGTCAGATATGTGTTTTGGGTGGGTGGGTGTGACATCCCCAATTTCAAGGCCACAAAAGACGAATTTGTTTATGCTTATTTAAAATCAGATTATCCATTTTGAAGAATAATATTACGGAATTTGTTCCCAAAAACATGATAATAATATTACCACAACATTTCCAAAGAAATATATTTTATTTATATTAAAAATGTTGGGATGTCATTGTCAATACAATACATAAGCATAAACGAAAATAATACATGCCTTACAAACACTTATCATTCTATTGGCCTATAATCCATAAATCTCTCATCTAATCATCACGCTTGTGCTCTCGTGTCACTACCTCTAATGCAAGAAACTGAGTGGGTCAAGCTTGGGATCCAGGTGGGCACATAGGGTTTTCAACCCATAATAATATATTTAATATGTTTAATCATCAAACAAGTAACCGAATTTCCCATCCCCATTATCTTCTCTATTCTTAAGGATCTACCCTAAGGATCATTTATCCTGATAGTACTAGTTCAAGGATTCCTCCACGATACTTGTCAGTAGGTTTTCTTCTATATTTATTCCTAAGGATTTGTCCTAATAAATAGGCACGAAGTCCATCGCTGCTAGGGTTTATCTAATAAGAACTAAGTCTGTAGCTTCCATGGTTTATCTATTATGCACTAAGTCCATAGTTGCTAGTGTTTATCTATTAGGCACTAAGTCCATAACTACCAATGTTCATCTATTAGGCACTAAGTCCATAGCTGCTAGTGTTTATCTATTAGGCACTAAGTCCATCGAATCATCTTCTTTATTGATAATATTATTTTAGGGAGTCCACCCACAATACATGTTAATGGGGTTTTAGGTTACATCTGATGAACACATGGCTCACAAACACCTACAGGTTGTGAGTCTGATAGCGTTCTACTGGACTGTCTAGAATAGCCTGTGGTTGTCATCTATACTCTACTAGATGATATCATTTTTAAATTCAAGGAATCTCATCATATATTTCATCTTTCATCACTCATCATCTCTCATCATCTTTCATATCTCATCATTTATATCATCTTTCATCCACCCATCTTTACCAAATATATTTATAGGTTTAAAAATACATATATAGTTCAAATCGAGTAAAACATATATAAATCGTTCATCTAGCATAGATATCATGAACACGGATAATAATCACATATAACATATAATTATCTTAAATACTTCATATCTATGTGTAAGATAAAAGTAACTATGCACTCACTTTTTAAAATGATGACTTGAAACTCGGACAATGCTTCACTTCCAACAATTTTCTTTTCCTTTGACGTAACCTAGTATCATTATCACTAAGTCTTAGTCTAATATTCCTTGAGACTAATTATTAGTCTAGATTCATCATTAATTCAAAGTCTACTGATCTATAGCTGATAAGGGAAAACCATGTAAGATCATATCGGAGGTAAGGTTTGTTTGGTATACAAAGTATACTGTTTTGATAGCCCACTTTAAACACCTCACTAAATCTAGCATTGTCATCATCCCCTCAAGTAGATTAATCAGTATAACGACTTGGAATCACTGATAAATCTTTTTTATAGGTTCCTAATAATGATATTGAACTTAAACATAAGTTATACTTAAAGCATGGTAAGCATAACTCAACTTACAAGTGGTTTAGCGGAAAACTAAACTTTGCGCAGGTATAACTTCTAAATTGAAATCTTTATTTCTTGGGGATTTATGAAGCTCTGGGGATTTGCTACTAACCCTTAGGAAGTACTAGAACAAGGCCTAGGGACCTTGGGAGGTTTTGGGAGATATAGGAATGAAAAAGGTGTGAAGAAAAGAGTGAAAATTGCCTTCTATTTATAGGCTACCAGGAGGCCCATTATGCTAGGCGTACTCAAATTACGATGTCCGTACTCAACTTACATTGGGCGTATTGGGGCCACGTGTCATCATGATAGTTTCATTTTATTTACTTCTTTTTATAGTTTATTTTAGTATATTTCATTGATAATTTAGTTAATTTCCACACATATTTTCCTTTTTGTTATTTTATGACTATTTTGGGTACTATCTAGTTTCGTGAGCGTAATTGCAGATTTTAAGGAGACTAGCGGATCAGGATCTTTGGGAGGCGATTGGAATTAGAAGACAACAAGGGTTATGGGCTTGATAGATATGGAGATGATGCATGGAGTGGGCTTGTTGATTATTTGAAGGCTTGGAGGAAATGAAATTTAATTTTGCAAGAAACGGAAGAATATTCAAGCGTGCGGAGATTATTGATCGGGCAATTACGTGAGCTATGGATCATTTAGAGAAGCCGAATTTGGCTTAAAATGAAGATAAATTGAAGAAAAATGAGATAAAAGTTGATCGGGCTCAAACTGGGCCAGTGGACTAAGCTGTGGAGGCCCAAAACTCAAAGAAGCCCACAATCAGGTACCACCTGTACAACCTAAGTACGTAGGGATGCGAAGTTGCGCACGATGCTGCAGGGGAATTTTAGGAATTCCATTTTGAAAGCTATTTGATGAGGGTTGGTGTGCATCTTTTTCATACTTCTACACCTTCAAAATTTGAAGGAGTCTCGGGATATTTTGGAGCAATTTGAAGGCCAAGAATACATCAAAAACATCATCTTTTTGCTCTTGATTCTTGCTAGATTTTTGGTACAATCTACTCTTACTTTGTTTTCTTGAGTTTAGCCATGTTATGCTAAACTAATCTTGGTAGAATTTGGTCAAATCATTATAATGTTGGTTGAATGTTGAAGAACTCCATGAACTTGTTCTTGAGTATTTATGAGAGTGTTTTATATTCTTGTATGTTTTTATTCATGAGTTTAAATGTATTTGTAGTGATTAGTTGGCTAATTTCTTGATTAAGTAAAGGATCCTCAAATTAGAAAGAAACAAGTGTTTCTTGTGTTATTTTTCATTTCACACAATCACAAAAACATTTTCTCCAACATGGAAGTGAAAGCATTTGACTCTTCTTGGATTTGGTGACTTTTTGGTTCTTAATGCTAGTTGACTTTGACTAATTACATGCTTGATGTAAATTGTGACTTTAACTAAAGAAATTGTTATGAAAATCTTTAACGATTTTAACAACTAAAAAAATCTAGGTAATATCAAGCTTCTTGGATTACTATAGCCAAATTAAAGATTTAAAACAAGTATTGCACCATTCGATTCTAATGATATGTTCACCAATTGTTCAAGTGAGGAAACCTTAAGTCAACCATCTTTCTCTTATTGACTTTACAACAAACTCCTGTTTTTGTTGAATTGTCTATTTAAATATTAGTTTAATTCTAGTTTTATTTCAAGTATTTCAAAAGACCAAAACCCCCATTTTTATTTTTATTGTCATTTTACAAGTATTTTTGCAAATGGATTTTCATAGAGTTATAAAATTGAATCAATCTCCATGGATACGATCCCTTTACTACTATACACTATTTTAGTGTATAATATTTAGGGTTATTAATTTTGTTGGCCTCGACAACCACCACATCATTTGGTGGCAAGCCATAGGGAGAAAGGGGTGTGCCAGTGCACGAAACGTGTCACACTCTTGTTAATCCGAAAATTAATTATCTTGTAAAATACATGTAACATTCATAAAATTCATGAAAATTTTAAACTTTTAAATAATCCCAAAAACCATCATTGTTTACAAATTGTTTTTAAAACAAGTTCAACATTAGAGAAATCCCAAAATCATGAAACAAAACATGAGGAGGTTTACAATCACGCCTTCGCTTTCCTGCGATCCTCTGAGGTACATGAAACATAGTCCAAAACTGTAAGCCCAAAGCTTAGTGAGTTCCCCTAAAATACTGATACATAACAAATAACACAAATATACTAACAACATGCAATAGGTCCATAACTAAAAGACTGGATTACCCCTAAGCCCACAACATAAGTCTGAGTTGCCCCTTGGGCCCACAACTTACGTCTGGCTTGCTCCCCGGCCT